CAACCAGAGTATTTAATTCAATTATCTATATCTTTTTTCNGTAACGGTACCATAAGAAAAAAGTTTTAATTAGATTAATCTTTAAATAAATAAACTAATAGCCACCTACCGAAAAATTCAGACTTCAAATGGTCAATCAAAACTGATTTTTAGAAAAAAATGTTAGACGCATTTGTTTAAGAAAGAAGCGAGTTAAAACTAATTCAATCGGAACTGAAATAAAAACGTGTTTTCGAATCTTCAATGAATCGTAATGAAGTAAAAAAACGTTTAAACCCGTTCATTTTTTTTCTCAAAAAAATTTATGCTTTTGTGTGCCAGTTTGAAATCTGAAAGTTTTTAATGCTATACCTGAACCTGAACAGAGATATTATAAATCTTAGTTCTCATTTCTGAGAAATTTTTTTTCTTACCTGTGCAAGTAAGTGCTTTTATAATTCTAAGTTGTAGTTATTTATTCACTTTTCGTGAATAAATATTATTATTGTTATTATTATAATTTTATTATAAATTTCACGACTGAGAGTCACGTTCTCTAATTAAACTTTGATGATTTATGTATTCAAGCATCGGAAAATTTTCAAGTTTTTCAAAGAAGATTAGTGTTGTATATGTATTATTAGTGATAGAACATAAAACGGTGAAAAAACTTGTAACTAAACACGATTCGTTCACGGCGGCCATTAATCGCTTTTGAACTATCAGTTAACAGCAAAGAAACGGCTGATAAACGAAAATAGATAATTTAGACTGTTAAGTAGATGTTTCGATTGAGCTAGGTTTGATTCGGTTAAATATAATTGTATAAAACTGTCAAAATTTGATTTTGAAATGAGCATGTCGCGTCGTTCGTGAATACAGTTTTGTTATGGTTGTCAGTGTTTATTCCTAAACGGTTACTCAGTTAACGGTGATAACTAATTATTTTCAATTACAATATGCAAATAGAGATTTATTGTCACTTGTAAATGTAAGCACAGTAATAAGTTTTGCAGCACAAAACGTATCTAAGTTTTGCATGGCTCTTTCCCTATTAATATGGAGAAATGTTGTTAATTCGAAGATAATCAAAAGTTTATAGAATCACGCATACACTAGAGCAAATATATTACAGTTTTAATACTTTTACAGTTATCCAGAGGATTTCACAAGAACGATTGTTCAGTTCTATGCAATATCTGTAATGCATATTATCCTCTACATATGACAATATACCTTCCCAGCCGATCTTTCTCTCCTTACCAATAAATGTGTAATCGGGAATATCTAAAGACGTATTTGAAGCTGTATCATTTAGTCAAGGTTTAAGAAACTCAAATAAGTCAGGATTCACATTTGCTAGCAAGTTAGTGTGAAATAGTAAATATCGATTGTCACTGGGATACGAATACATATTTGACGCCTTCATTTTGTCACCGTAGACAATGCGTAAGCTTTTACTGTTCTTTTTCTCGGTATCTTTTATCAGCGAGATTATCTGAGATGGATGCAAAGTTTGCCTAGTTTTGAACTTTCGGCGGTTCAGTATAGCAAAGTTCCAATTAAAACCATTCAAAAGATGAAAAGCGTGCCTCGTCAACACAAAAAGGATGAGTCATATACTGTTAACTAGTGTATGCGGTCATTAGAAGAAGTTAAAATCGATGGGATGAACAGTTTATCGATACGCAATGTGAATATTCAGAACGTTTAGCAGTAAGAGACAATTAGCTTGAACTTTATAGTAATCTTCCATTAAACAATCAGAAGTAAATAAAAATTAATCAAGTATTAACTAAAGCTTGAAACTCAGCTTTTCAACTGTCATCCATCTCAAACTCAAAATGTATAGATGCATATCAAAGCAGAAAAATCAATTTCTAGCAGGAGGATGGCTTAATCTTTGAAAAAAGAAAGAATCAGCTTTATGGGAAAAAAAGTTTTGTAAGAAGATTAGCGCTTTTATTTTTTATTGAAAAACTTTTTTTGGCGACGCCAGCAGATGCTTAGGTACTAATAATAGAAAAACTCTAGTTAATGAATGAAATCGATGTTTTTAAATCATCAAAACCAATAATAGAAAAATGAATAATACCCAAGTAATAAGATAAATGTTTATTTTCTTATTGTTGAGAACATTGGACGAACAACACATAAACTCATCAAAATTCTATGCAGTTTTTCATACCAGGGTAATGACAAACAGAAAATAAATTGAATTCAATGAAAAGTTGATCTCTTACTCCACAAACAAAAACCATTTATTATATAAAGGTTTTTCTAAATATTCTTCAAAGGAGAGTAAAACTAATAAAATCAGTTAAAAACATAAAACAATGATAAAACTAATATACTATATTATCCTATAGATAGAAAAACTTCTTTCTACATAACATGTTTTATCGAAATGCCAGGCAGCACCGGCTATCATGTATAAGATTATTGATAAAATGTAGCTAATACTTTTTTTATTGAACAGGAGTTATATCAGTTTTTCCACTGTCGTCTCTTATCCGCAATCTTTGATTGCAGATTTAAAGTTATTTTATGTGCTTGACATTTAGCATTGATACATCACTTATTCGTTTCCATCCATGTCATCATTTTGTCAATGATCATTGAATTGTGAATTTAACAAAGTTCACGTTGACTAACTAACATTGATATTTGACAATAAAGATTATTCAATTATTGCTTTTTCCCATACAGTTTATATAAAGAAAAAATGCTGAAAAGACTAACTCTAATGAACTAGACTAACTCCTAATGATAAGAAAAGAGATATTTAAAAACTATTTATATAATATTAAAAAAATCAAATGTATTATTATCCATATTGATAAAAATTACTTTTCTTCTAATCCTAAGCGAAATATGACTCATAGTATGACTCACAGTATATTCGCAATAGAGTCATCAGTATGAATAGTGATGAAATAATCTACGTAAAACAATACGATCTATAATAGTACAACAAATTAATTATCTTTTTTTAACAAAATGATAAACGTTGACATGTTAAAACTATTATAGAATACGAAGTAATTGAAACATACTTACCGTAAGAGTTAACTCTAACTACCAGGATCAATCATAATTATCTAAATTTCAACATTTTCTCCTTTTTCTGTGTAGTCTGCAGGAGGTTTTATCGAAACAAAAATTGCGGAATATTGTAACTTTGAATCAGCCATATGATAATAATAATATTTGACTATAAAAAAAAAGGATTCGTTTTTTAGATATATATTTAGACACGGCACCACTCTGTAATTATTTATCACAAAAAAAACAAAAAATTGAAATAGTATTTTGTAATTATGTAGACCTGCATATGGAACATGCACACAAACAAAGTATGCATATTTTTAACTCTAGAGACAAAAGAAAAAGAAATTCACTGCCAATTAACTAACATACACACATTCTTTTAGTTTGATAAATTTTTTTTATTACAGTTGTATATCATTCTCTCAAAACAGTTTTGGTAAATGAATGAGACAGAACACTCTCGATTCCATGGCAGAAGATCTGAGTATGTATTGTGTTCCACAGTATCAAATAGCTTAGATAAGAAACAAATGAAGTATTTTATGAGTTGATGTTATCTAAGCAATTATTCGTTGATTAGATCAATTTATTTAAATTAAAAACTAACATATTGTCTATTTATCAAGATATAATTCTTATGCTCGTTTTATCTAATGTAAGAAAACCGTATAGAATAAGAGAGGAAACATTTGGCATGGAAAAAGCAGCGAATTCCAGGTATAACTTTATATCAGTGTATCATATATGATCTACAATTTTACTCTTTTCTTCTTAACCGTGAAAAAAAGAGAGAAAAAAAGAAAAAGAAAATCTAAACAGTATATAGTCTATTCTTCTATACAATGAAGTAATATAAAGTAGTAGTAGTCACAATGTTAAAACTAGAACATCATCATCTCTAACTATATTAAATTGATTAATATTTTAATGTAATGAAATAATGGTAAGAGACATTTTCACGCAGAAAGTATTCTTTTCTGATCACAATCTCAAAGCTGTTATGCTATTTAATTCTTCTTTGAGAAAACGGGTTTGCACCGAAAATGAGAGATACGAACGACAGTTAAGATAATGTAGAATGATTTACTCATCCTTTATTGTAGAGAATATATCGAACTACTCGAAATAAACAAGTCTGATTTGTTAGTATCCTACAGTGAAAAGATGTAATATTTTTCTTGGTCAATTTAGGATACAAAACTCATGATTACAAAATATAGTGCAGTTATCTTGAAAGTACCCCGAGGCAATTTTTCTAGAATAATTATTAGACTAGTCGTTGTTTTCTTGTCACAACATAATGCTAGTACAGATGAGATGCTAAAAATATTTCTGTAATAATTTATAAATTGTTACCTGTCATTCATTATGAGACATCAAATGACAAACACCAAACAAACTGTAAAATTCTTTAATAAGATCTGTTTTAGAGTTATTTAATTTAGATGATTATAATTAGTAGTTAGTTATACGACTATTTGGTTAAAATTATCAAGTTTTTTCCTTCTTTTTATTGTTGTATTTTCTCTTTTTGATGTCTCAAGTTTCTATCAAGATGAATAGTTCTTATTTTCACTTCTATTATGAATAAGCTAAAATTAGTACAGTAGTCACAATAAATTATTATGAATAATGTTTTGCGACTAAACGGAAAAAACGTCCCTCTAATCATACATACACACATTGTTCATATTATGGAATTATATATTGAAGTTCTTTTTTCTGTATGTCATTTTGTACCTTCTTTTTTTCGTTTTTCTTTATCAACTATTAGAAAATAAGAAGTTAATAGAAAGCATAAGAATAGGAAAAATCGTTCAAGATATTTTTTTTTTTCTATACGTTATTTACAGATCTGCATAACAGAACAAACACAATATATATAAATAAAAATTTTCTTTTTTTCTCTATCTGTCTTTAGATTGTTGATTATTAATATTAATAGAGTAATGCATTAAAAAAACATATTTATGGTTCTTTGGTACGGGTTCCTTACTATTGAGACAACTCAAGCTAATTACAGTAGTGAACAACAACAACAACGAAAAAGAAAACAGATAAATAAATGTTCGACATTCGATAATATATATGACAACAACAGAAAAACAAAAATTTTTAAATCAGCTATATCGACATTATCGACATTGTCATCGTCGTCATCATCATCAACAAATTCATGGATTTATACAGAAGAATTAAAAAAACGTTTTGAAGAACGATATCTAATATTAGATGATTTACAATCATTTTCCACTTGTCCATACATCATTATTCCGGTTTATTGTGAACGAATAAAATTAAAAACAACATCAACGAAACAAAATTCATGGATTTATACAAAATCATTGCGTGAACAATTAGTCACTAAACAACAATTATTTAATAATAGACATAGTTTATTATCGTTATTCGATGCAGACAATTCGACATATTGTACGAATCATGGTTATAACAATGATCGAGATGATTGCTCCTCAACCAAAGTTAAAAAGAGTAGAACATCATTTTTTCGAACTTCGATGCCAAATCTTTCTTTTTGGACACGTAAAAAAGGAGTGATGCTGAATAGAAAGTTAACGGAAGATCTAGTTGAAGAAGAAAATGAAGATGCAACAAATACAGAAGTCTCATTACCATTGATAGAAAAGTGAGTGTGCGTCATTTCTTAGATAACAGATATAAAACATTTGTAGTTATCAAAGAAGCAGAGATGAGCTAGTGAGAGTCACGACTTGAACTCAAAGCGAAAGACATCAGAAACTTGAAAAATTGATTCAGGTCACTCATGAGAAATTTTGCTTTACATTTATTATGTATGGAAAGAGAAAAAGAGAGGGAGAGAAGAACATCTCACCACATAGCAAAATTGAAGACCTAGAAATCATTCTGATCAAAATAAAGAGAATACTAAATCATGCCAATATTGACAGACGTGCGTGATTAATTTGGAAGACAGAGCGAAGATATTTAAACTTGAAAAACTACTGACAGGCATCAGTCTCATAAGAATGAAAAATAAATATATTTTTTTTCGTTATTCGAAAATTAAATGATGTTTCAGTTCTTTACGAGTGACACAAACATACTAAACATATCTACTAATATTTGCTATTTAGTTTGTCATTAACAACAACAATGTCACATTTACCATTACCAGTATTTAAACAACCGTCAAAAATGACATGTTTACGTAAATTATTTTTTAAATCATTGTTAGGATCGAAATCAAAACAAGATAATCAAACCATCATAACATAAAGGGAAAGAAAATAATATCTAACAATCTAATCGAATGTCAACATAATTTATATAACCCAAACCAAGTCTTCATTACCGAAAATAATACGTTCACCTGTTTGAAGCGAAGAATATTACATTAAGTGGCATATGGAGAAATAACATTCGTTAAAAATCATCGGTTAATATACTTTTCTATTGTGTATATTCCTGTCAAGTGAAAGTTAATGACAGTTATATAATAAAATGATCATCTTCAAATACTGAAATGATGATTTGTACATTTTAATCATCGAATGTGATCGCTTTGATATATTTTTTTTTTATTCTTTAATTTGTATCAAAGTTTGCAAGATTACTAAAGACATCTTTCTCTTTATTCTGTCACGATTAGAGAACCAGTACTGCTAAAAACATTCAAAGGTTTAAATAAAAAAAATAAGGATGTATTGTCAATGGAAAGAAAATAAGTAAACGGAAACGAGACTGATTGAGCATCTAAATAAACTTGATGCTGACACAACACAAACGGATATGTTAATGAAAAGAGTTTTTCTTATTTTTCTGTTTGCTGCAAATGTGATACGTTAGAAAAAACAAATGTTAAACATTGAATATTATTTAACTATCCATTTCTTCCATTAGATGAATGAGAATTAGTTGAACGACGCACTAAATTATTCAACAAGAAAAATGGAGAACGATAGTGTTTTTTTCTACTTCAGTACTAGTGACAACGATATGTCCGCATGTAGACGAGTGATGCAGAACTCGTATGACAACTTTCTCTCCTCTACCGATGCTCTCGTTAGAACAATAGTTCATCATATACTTAAGATAGAAACAGTGTATGAAGATGTGTTCCAAATTATTTAGTATTTCCTGTATTGAATACATTTATAAACAATACATTTTATTCCGAATTTTAGGAATTGTTTAGATTACAAAGAATTTTCAAGAAAAATATTTTTAGTCAAAAATGTGATTTGCTGACGGTTTAGCGATCCCCTACACAACTATCCATACATTTTGCCACAATTTTCAACTTCTTTAACCCTGACAGCTGTTCTCATTTTTGGACTTCATGGCTGCTCAGGGTTCCGGTTGGACTCACACGAGAACATATGGAAGAAGTTCAACCTTTTTACCATTTGATTGAAGCTTTTCATGCATGGATCAATGGTCTACATCATACTCCTTCTAGGTGGATATGTTGATACTGATACAGGGTATGTAAACGTATATTATTTAGGAGACATTTTTGGGAAAGGTTTTATAATTAGGTATGCACCAGTTTTTAACTGGTGTTGTAGCATCCAGGAAAATTTCTATACATCGGTTATCAAGATTCGCTCATAGCTGCGGAACATCTCATTTTGTAGAAAAATGTTTGCTCTACCAAAACGACAACAGAGGGGGAAATCGTACATATAACACCATGGTTGTTATCTGGCCCAAGCGGACCCACACTTCAGTTTTTTTTCTGTAAGACTCATTCACGAGACTTGATATAGGTAGTGTGTGTGGATAGAAGACTGACGATTAGGAAAGAGAGCAGATCGAAAGAATAAATACTGTCGAGCAAGAAACAAAAACTGCACAGTGAGTCCAACTGGACCTCTAAACAGCTGCGAAGGGTTAAACTCATTCGCTTCCTTTTACTACAGCCAAGTTGTTCAAAAAGAATTAGTATGCCAGATATTTTCTTGCAATTGTAATATTTTATTCAACCAAAATTCCTCTCGTAGATGTTCAGCTGTTTGAATTGTTCTCTTTTCACTCACTCTCGCTACCCTCGCTCACCACCAAAGTCTATTTGTGAAGATCTCAAGAATCGTTTCATTGAAAGGCGTCAAATACCGGGATCTCTCAAACGTCGATTCACGAAAAATGTCTGTCATCTTTTCTAAACATGTACAGACTCTCCATCACTTCGTCACAGTTTTTCATCGAAAAAAAACCTATTGGGAATGTAAAGTTCAATAAAAAGTTATGTCACTCATGTCTTTCTTACAAAAGAAATATTTATCAGCATTTGTGCGGTATGAATGTGCACCGATGCCGAATTTTTGTCAACATTTGTCCATATAAACATCACATTATACTTGCAATATTTTCAATGTGTTTTGACTTCGTACTTTCCTTCTCATAAGAGAGGTGCCACATAATACAAAACTAGATAAAAGCATCTATAATAAAAACTAATACTAGCAAAAAAAGTTTCAATGCAATGCTGGCAAAAAGTAGGGGGCAGCACTTTTTTGGAGGATGTATGTGTCGACACTGGTGGCAATCAGATCAACATGGCATGTCATATGCACTGGAGCTCCACCCACTTGTTATGGTCAATGAGGATTTGTATGATTATGTACTATTATCTTAAATTCTCATAAGATCTTCATACTGTGTTAAATATAAGAATCTTAATATAACAGTTGAGTTTGTCTTTGCAAGTATTTAAGTAGCCGCTGTCTCAGCGAATATTGATCCAGGGGAGCAAGTTATCATAGGAACAAGTATCCGCCAGCAGTTTGTTTCTTATATAGTTGGATATACGAGATTTTAACAGTATAATTGTTGATATAATTTTAAATGAGAAAATGTGATTGAACTAATCAAATCTATTAATGACTAATTTCAGAAAAGAAAACAACCATATGAAAATGTTTTTTATAAGGATTGTAAACGTATTTTGTTCAAGCATATGAATTTTCACACCGGTTTATCAAGAAATTAGCACATATGTCCCTCTAGAACATCCAATTGATTTATATCCAAAACATACTTGAAAATAAATATAAAAACACGCTCATATAGAGGAAGAAAAAGATATTAACTCGTCTTTTTAGCTTTAACCATCTGAACAATCACTTTATACCTTGCTAGGCAATCATCTTTTGTTTTTCCTGGCACACACTCTGCTATCTTACCCCATCGATCGTTAATCTCTTTTGGAATTTGTTTTAGAGCACATTCAAGTAAACGTTGATCAGTCTGGCTCCACTCTTGATCGACTTTAGCAGCGGTTTTCCTTGAACGTGATGTATCGTCTGATGTATCATCATCTTCTCGTTCGGTAATTATTTCATCTGCAATTAAAGTTGATGATGGCAATGTTCGATTTTGTCCTGTAGTTGAGACATTCGTCACATTAGTTTTTATGTGTTTAGCCATTTCTACCACCTGATTTACATTTCTTCCCACCATTTCACTAATTTTTTCCCATCGATTTGGTGTACCACCCGGATATCGTGCAACACTTTTACACAATAACATCTTTTCTTCATCTGTCCATGGTAAATTATCGTTTGCTGTTGATGATAATGGAACATAATTTGACAAATCATTCTGCGATTCTATATTGTATGAGTGAACAGGTTTATTTTGACTAGAAGCCATTTCCGGAACAATATCATCTATTATTATCTTAGGTGAGCGAGGTTGAGGTTCAATTTTGAGTTCGTCGTTGTCATCAATATTAATGGTTTGTTTACGATTACATAACTGGATGATTGCTGGTAAAAAGCATTTATTTTGGATAAAAAAATATTTAATAAATTGTACAGGCAGTATATCTCTCCATACCGGTTTAGGAAGTACTGAATAAAACAAAAAATAAAACAATAAACAAACTTTTCTAAAGAAAAACTGAGTATCTTACTTGGTACCATTTTTGACAATTCTTCATCAATCATATCCTGATTAATGTCTTTTTGTTTTGTTGTTTTTTTCATCTTTTTTTCTAAACGTTTTCGCATATCCACTAATCGTTCATCCTATAATACAAAAGAAATCAATGTTAATATTTGTGTTTTATGCGAAAAGCAGACATGCAGTACTGTCGGAAATCTTACGATCTCTTCTCAAATAATACCATCGTTAGTCGTTTCTCGAAATAGATTGCCCATAAAACAAAGTAATGTCCGATTGTCAATATCACTGATAACAATAAAAACATTTCCCAAACATGTAATTTTCGAACACGACGATAATAATAGACTGGTGTATTCCATTTTGGTAAACCTTCTGTCAATATACGATCATAACGTTTTCTTTTAATATCATCTTTGAGTACCTCATAAACAGACACCAAATGACGAAATTTAATTTCGGCATCTGCTTCATTACTCTTATCAGGATGCCATTGAAGTGATAATTTTCGATAGGCGCGTTTAATGTCAGACACTTCGCTCGTAGGTTCAACACCTATGAATTGATAAAAATTTGTATTCAATTCTTCAACTAAATCAAATAGATCTAATTCGTATGATTCCCAGCCAACGCAAAGATTGATGATAAACAGCAATATTAATACAATACAGTTGTGTTTCATTTTAACGGCTACCGTAGATTACGTAACATAGTCGACCAACAGTTCAACGTTAATATACTAAAATAAAACAATCATCCCTATTTATTATAGAACTCTCGAACTGAATGTTGCTCCTACAATGGACGCAAAAAAGTTTGAATAGATATTTTTTTCATCAGGTCTCTCAAGAATATATACAACGGAAAATGTACCACAGTTAGAATAAACTACGTTTTGTGCTACGTTTATGTTACTTCTTTGGACCGATCTAAAAAATAGTCGAAACGTTACACTCTATTTTTCATTGGTGGACATGAGCAAAAGGAACAAAATAAAAAAGATGTCGCTGCTTTATGTTTATTATACTGAAATTTTTCTGTAGGAGAGTCGATCATGTTTTTCATAAGATTCTTACAAGAATCTTATAAGAATACCGTACGAGTTTTGCTGACTCTTACCAATTTCTTATTACACTAATTCGGGTGTTTCTAGCGGGTTTTTAGATAAATACTGTATTAGAAAACCCGTGGATTTTTAAGAAAAAAATTGCGGCTGGCGGCGGCTTTTTTCCCCCCAAAAAACATGGCTGTAGGCGGTTTTTTTTGCGCAGTTTTGTGCGGACAAAGCGGTTATTTTGAAACAAATTCGGGTGACTACAGCAGTTTTTACACAGTCATTTAGCCACTGTGATCGCTTTTTTCTTCGATTTTTTCTGTATGGGTTTTATCTTCAAAAGACTGACGTTTTTCAGATTAATCTCGTTGATGTAACAGATTGAAAATGCAAATATTTTATATTCTAATATCTCAGCTGAAATGATTCGAAATGATTACGAATCAATTCAGTGGCGCCGAAGTCTGCTTTAACCATGAGTTGATTTTTAATAAATCTAATGTTTTTTTTATAAATTTATTTATGTATCTATTCGGTCTTGTGAAAATGAAATGGTACAGCTCGTTTATATTGAAGAAAGTTAAATACAAGAAAATATAACAGATATTAAGAACACTAGTGACAGACAAAATGGCAGGTCCACGTCACACTGCATATTTTTGCCCTAATTGTGGGATGAACAGCAGTACCATTGGCAATTGTCAACATTGTCGTTCGCAATTTGTAGAAGAGATTGATATGACTACTACGAGACAACGCGATAATACAGATAGTACAGATGACAATATGCAGTTTCAACCACAAGAACATCCTTCAAGACTCCCTGCTTTGCCGCAAGAATTTGATTTTCAGTCATTTGCTAATCAAATTTTACCACTTTTGTTCAGTTCTCAAACACAAAATTTCACAACGTTAGAACAGCAGCAACAACAAGGAATTCACCAGCGTTCTCAAGGGCGTGGTAGCTCAAGAATTACTCGATCAACGTCGAGACAAACAGCAAATGCAGAACATGCACGAACAGTAGTCGCCGAACAACAACAGGGACTGAATCGTTTTCTTCCGTTGATGAATATATTAGCTCAAGCATTCTCAAATGACAATAATCAGCTCAATAACGGTTACTTGTCTATATTTATACATCTCGCCTCGATCAGGCTTCCCGATCAGGAGGGTGCTGGCCCCTCCCCCAAACATTTTTTGGACTTTCTGGTAAAATCTTTGACATTTTTCCACCAGCAACTTTCTGTCAAAAATTTCAAAAACTTTTTTTCGCCAGCCACTTTCTGCGAAGCCCCTCCCATACCTAAGAACAACCGGAAAACCGTTGTGCTTTTCCTTATTAGGTGTGCACATGAGACCTGATGACACTATTCGTATGAATGGAATGAATGCACCAATATATATGCCTGTGCCTAGCAATCCATCATTCGTCAGTAGATCTCTACTACCGGGTCAAAATGTTCAAACCATAGAAATTCCCTTACGAATATTATTTTTCGACGACAATAATCGAAATTTAACGCAAATGTTAACACAGTTATTTCAAGAAGAAGTGGGTGTCCCACCAAATAGTCAACGAAATATTAATCAATTGCCTGATTACAAAATTACCGATGATCTAGTTAAGCAAAAAGCATCGTGCGCCATATGTCTGGATGAGTTTGACACGAGTTCCGTTTGCAAACAAATTCAGATATGTCGTCACATATTTCACACGACATGTCTAACAGAATGGCTTTTGAGGCATGGTAATTGTCCCGTTTGTCGGACGACAACATCTCCGAATCCACATTCAGCGCAACAGGAACGCCTAACACAAACCTATGACCACAGACATCATCATCGTAAGCTATACTTTATTATTCGATTTTTTTATGATTCACACTATATTTCAGACCCCGCTCAACGCAACTTACTTATGCTCACACAAACCAGCGACGAAAATTTACCCTATATGCAAGAAATTATTCTTGAACCATTTCAAGCACTGCATTCTAACATAATACCACCTAATGAGAGCTCAACACCTCAGACATTAGAAGCCGTTCCAAACAAAATGATAATCCCACAAGTTAATAATCGTTTTTTACGGAATATAATGGCGGCAAACCAACGCCGACCTTCATCGCCACAATCTGTTTTGCCAGATCCTCTATATGGTGTCAATGGTCAGCCTGTCTATTTACCAGTGTTTAATCGATTGCCCTATTTTAATTCACATATCCATGCTGATGCATCAGTATTTGTTCGTACTCCAATAGCGAACGAAAACATCATTGTTACCCCTCCGCAAGTTCCTCTTTCTTCATCAACAATAACTACAGAAAATCCCTTTTCTCCAGGATCAATACCGTTAGAAGGATCAGAACACCAGCAACATGACGAGCAGGCAAATATCAGTCTTTCATCTCAAGAAACTCTTTCCTATTATCTACCGAGATCTAATGACTTTGGTAGCTAATAAAGTACTCTTGGTTCGTGGAACGGTGATTGTTAAGATAAAACATATACACAACATATTTCAGATCACATAATGTATGTAAAAATTCCAAGAAGCATTACACTGCAAATTTTTTATTCATTTAGTCAAAACGTTCTCAGTTTCTTGCTGCTTGATGAGGACAAAGTTCTCTCTCATTAATTTTAACTAAAGAATTAACTAAAGAATATTTTATCTAATTGGACAAAGGTCAAACAGATGTCTGGGAATAGATTGTGACATATATTTTCTATACAACACAGACGTCCATGTTTTCTGCCTAAGTGAAAGATGTCTTCAAAGCAGAGCCCTGCAGGTTGCCAATATTTGGCAACCTATAACCTAACCTATAAAAAATTTCACAACCTAATCCTAACCTAACCTATGAATTCGACAACCTAATCCTAACCTAACCATTGAAAAAAAAAATAGAACAACCTATAACCTAACCTAGCCTATAACTTTTGCAACCTAATCCTAACCTAATCTATAGCTTTTGCAACCTAATCCTAACCTAACCTATAGGTTAGGTTAGGTTAGGTTAGGATCAACCTGCAGGGCTCTGCTTCAAAGATCTTGGCATACCTTATAAAATGATATCTTTTGAAAGATCTTATATAATTTGCAAGATCTTATCTCAAATCTTGTCGATCTTGGTCTCTCTTCTATACAATGAATAGTCAAAAAACGTAATTTTTAACACCACTGGTAAGTAGAATATGTCTTTTATCTAGAGAACATAACTGTACGATAAAAAATTATTTCACTTTTTCTACGATCGAAAAAAATAGTATAGGCTCAATCAATGTTTACTGTACAAAGATCTCAAAATAAAAATGCACAGAAGTCAGAAATGCATTCAAGATTGATGTTTTTTATAACAATTGTGAGTATCCTAGGCGTAAGATCGCTTTGCTGTTAGTAACTTTCAGGATGTAGCAACGTTCAGTTCGGTTCTGTTTGACGCACGGAGGATTGGGGTTCAACCATTCCGCCTCATTCACAGAATCTTAGATTGGCTATAATAACGAACTGATCCTAGCGATCATATCTACGAGTATACATTCTTTGACAGTCCAAGCGTGAATGTTCTCTTCACACAGAGCAAACGTTACCGTACCCATAATATTCACACGTGAGCGACAAAACATCAATTGCCCTCACTTTTATTTTGAGATCGAATGCCAGTTATATGTCGAACCTTAATTGAGAAATACACGGAAGAAGTCTTAGATTGAAGTTGTTTTAGAAATAATCGAAATCTTTCTCAAAGTTCAAAAAACATAGTTATTTAGTTAGAACATAGTTTCTATGATAAGTATACTTGTTATAGAAACTACGTT